TCAGAGGAGCAGGAATGAAGAAGGGTCTAGGCCTGAAACGTCAGCCTTCCTGCTCCTCTGATGGTGCTTGGCCTGCTGTGTTCATCCAGCTCTACACCTTGTTATCTCAGATTCTCCAGCATCTGCAATTCCTACTATCTCTAAGACTTTTTAAAATCTATTTGGCTAACGAGGCACTTTGATTTAATTTATACTAAGATGAGGCTTTAAGGGGTTAAAGCCTCTAAAATTAGATGTATCTGCTGTGATCAGACTAAATGTTAAACTGTCTTGTGTTTCACATATGCTGCGTCAGTTTGAGGTCATGAGATTTCCTAGCACGTTTTAGAAATATTTGAATACCTTCCTCTTCAATAGCAGGGTTCCCAGCTGGTCAGGCATTGCTCTTATAATCTAAGGTGGCACTTTAGACTGATGGCAGGATGAACCATATGGGTAAAGAAAAGTGAAAGTATTCTTTAACCAGCTGGTAAACACAGTCTCCTGAAGTTCAAATTTTGAAGAGAGAGAGAAAGACATTTACTTTAATGCCTATCACGACCTTAAGACAAATGAAAGTGCTTTACAGCCAATTAAGTGCTTTAGGTGTAGTTGCTGTTGTAATGTAAGAAATGTGGCAATCAATTTGTACACAGCAATGAGATAACCAGATAATCTGTTTCAGCAATATTGGTTGAGGGATAAACATTGGCTAGAACATCGGAGAGAACTCTCGTCTTCAGTTTAATTCCATGGGATGTTTTACATCTACAAAAGAGGGAAGACTTTAATGTCTAATCTGAAAGACAGCATTTCTCACTGTGCAGTACTTCCTCAGAACTGTACTGGATTTTCAGCCTGAACCATAGGCTGTATTGCCTGGAATGGGGCTTGCACTGATTTGTGCAAAAGAGGCATTCCTGTAACTCAGTGGCTGAGTCAAAGCTGAGAGGCAGCTGATTTTCATTTCCTTCGCTAGTATAACCAGGCATTGATACTGGTGAATAAAGTGAGGCTAGCTTCTTGACTTTATTTTCTATGTTACAAGGAGTGAAAGACAATACTTTTCAATGAACAAAAACTGAATTGTGAACAGTGACATACATTATGTTAAATAAGCCAGTATTTGTTTACATTCAATTCTATCTGTTGCATAAGGCTTTTCAGAAGAATTGAAAAAGGTGACAAAAATAAGCAAAGTCACAGTGCTCAATATGTACAATGGAGGGGTCGTATTTTTTATCAACCTATTTTTCTAAGCAACCTGTTCAGAGATGTTATTACACACTCCTGGAACAGGTGGAACTTGAACCCGGTCTCCCAGTCCAGGGTTAAGAAACTACAGCTGTGCCACAAGAGGGCTCAGGAGTTGTATTCTTATAGCACCCAGGCCTTTCAATTGGATAACTATATAACTGGAAATAAAGGCAAACCACTTGTTATAAAGAATACAAGGACCCTCTTGTGCAGTGGTAGTGTCCCTACCCCTGGACTTGGAGGCCTGGGTTCAAGTCCCACCTGCTTCAGAGGTGTACAATAACATCTCTGAACAGGTTGATTCAAAACATAAAAATTATATAAGTAATTCACACTCTCAGAAGACCAGTAATGTAGAACATCTAGTTCAGATCTCAAATTTTCTATAATGGATAGTAATTCTTCCCTGGGGCTTTCTGGGTTAGTTTTGACATATATTCTCTGCCAAGGGTTTTCTCAAATGTAAGATTTGACAAAGTTGCGCCTATTTAACCAAAATTATTGACTATGGGAATGGTTGCAGAATTTGGCCTTTATAAAGCTCTGTTGTGACCCTCTCTGTTCCAGTTTCATTAAACATCGCTTTTCATGTGTTTTTTAACACCTGACCATCCTCCAGAGCTCCCTATGATATATCTCGTTGTTTCAGGAAATGTTTATGGTTAGATATTCTAACTAGTCCTCATAATCAAGAAGATTCTTGAAAAATTAAAGTCAAGCAGTCATAGGATTATTCAATATAAATATAATCATGTAATTTATAATCACATCTGGTGATTGTGATTAAATATATTCTTCCTTTGAGCCCAATATTAAGATTGATCAAACCCTTCAAATACAAATTTTCATTGCCGTTTACATTGCAATCTTCATGTTATGTATCAAAAAGCAGGGATATGTTAGATGGTATCGAAAGTCTTAAAATTCTCCTAAGAGGAAAAATTGATAAGGAACCTAGACCTTATCGATAATTCCGTCAACAAACTGTAGCCGCCCTCATTACCCTATTTCCATTGAACTGTGAAATAAGTAAACCTCCCTAATTTTTGTTATCACACACTTCTGTCGTGTTGCATCCCATTGCTATTCACTTCTGAATCTATTCTGCATCCTTCAGCACTGCTTCATTATCTGGTCCTCCCATGCTACACAAGTTTTAATTAAAAAGATGATGTTCTTCTTCTGCATGATTAGCTGGTGTCCTTGAAACTTTGAGTGCTTACTATTCCCTCAAGCTTATGAATTGGCCCCTATCAGCATATCTCTTACTAAAGTACATTCTCTGTCAGGTTATTACTTCATTCAAACATTAAGAAGACTGCATGTCCTGCAAGAATCAGTTCAAAAGTGCAGTGTTCACTGCCTTAGAATTGCTGTGCACCTTTTACAATATAGCATTAATTAAAGAACTTGAATTTATTCAGCACTGATCACAACCCCAAAACATCCCAAACAGCCAGTTAGTAATTTTTGAAATGTGGACACTGTTGTAATGTCACATGAAGCCCCTACAAACAGCAATGTGACAAGAGCCAGTTAAGTATCAGAAGGTTATGGAACGCATAACTTTCTAACTCACAGGCAAGAGTGTTATTGCTGTGGCTTATTTTGTAGTCATTATAAGATGTTACCGTTTAAATATTTTTTCTGTTCTGCTTAACAAAGGTTAAATTCTAACATTACTGCAACATCAAATCACTCTTAGAATATTCTGTTTAATCATTTCATCAAGCTCTATTACAAAATTTTGTATTATTGGGAAATGTAGGTCAGATTGGCAGTCCTTACAGCATGTTTTCAATTAGCTGAGAGCATTATGAATCAACTATTGTGTAGGAGTGGAATCAGATGTAGACCAGTCTAATTAACAGTGGTGCTCTCCCTAAATTGCTGTGGTGTAAGTTGAACTTTATAACTTATAGACTACTAGTTTCAGGACGGTAACCACTAGGCTACCTTTTCCAACCATCAGCATAGGACTAATGACCCTCGCCTAACTCTCAGGTGCTGGATGGTGTGATATGTAATGTATTTCCTCGGTTGGGTACACAGCTCAAGATGCAGTCTTCAGTGTGGATGCAGAATGTTACACTAAGATCTCCCTTAACAATTGCTGCCTATTCAATTTGAAAGTCTACCAGGTGTTCACTGAGGTACGTGCATCTTCAACAATTTCACCTGTCTCGTTTTGCGCAGCACGGTTGAGCCAGTAGAGATTTATGGTGTCCAGTGACTTTGCTGCTAGGTTACAGGATGGAGAAGATATTCAATACTCTAGATAATATCTCAGTTTCTAAGGCTTGAGATCAGTTGAGAGGAGCACTGACCTGTTGGCTTTTACCGTAACCCACGGAGAAATGGAGTGCTTAATTATCATTTAGTGGTCTCCCATAAAGGTTACAATTTAGCTTGAGTTTTTGACTCCAGTTCAACTTGGCTTCGTTCAATCATGTCAAATTAGTTGAATGTTATATCGGCAGCTATTCTTTGATTTTAAGCATAAAATTCCAGCATGACAACAAAGACTAATTCTTCATATATTGATGGGTGATGGCCATTGAGAGCTAATTTGAAGTCTGAAGATTTCCCGCTAATGGAAAGTAGTAAACAAGGTGACTTCTTAATGACAGGCTGGTAGTTTCATGATCAAGTGAGATCAGCATTTTATTCCACATTCGTTAATTCAATGCTATATGGGACCTGAATCCTATCATCAAAGGGTGAGTCTGAGCCTCTGAAATATTAATTGTGAAATTTACCACTACACTACCATACTTCAGATGCCCCTTTCTTTGATACCAAAATCATTTATTTAGTTTAATTGCTCCAATATTGTGGTCAAAATGGAAAAGGAGCAAACACAGTCACTATTGATCTTTCAAGTGCTCCACATAGCAGATTGCACCAAAACACTTTCGTAGACAAGAAGTTATCTTGAAGTGCAGTTATCATTTCTGTAGGCAAATTTAGTCATGCTAAAGTTCTGCAGAGCAAAATCTCACAGCAGGTGAGGTATGTAATCAGGTTGGTGATTTAAGGAGCTAATTTCAGAAAGAGAACCAGGGGAATTTTCTATCTTCTCTTTCAATAATACCTGGGATCTTTTACAGCCATCAGAGCTGTTTGCTGTCATTTCCATTTAATATCTTGTCTCGAAGACTTAAACCTCCAACACTAAAGCTATTCCTTCATTGGTACTGCACTCGGACTTAAATGATGTGCTCTGGAACAGGGTCCTATAATCCAAAGGTATAGGTGAAAACATAGTAATCACCAGCATCAATACAAAGGAAAATCAAGTGATGATACACTATATGGTGAGAGGGTCCCAGTGCAGATGCTGAGTGACCTGTACATCTGTACCTTCTGTATTTATTTCAAAGGTGATGCTAATATTTCTTAACTTAAGCTGTAACTGGTCTTGGAGCTCTTCTCCCTGTTTGTCTTAACAGCAACTCAAACACGTGAACCTAGTTAACCTGTTGGAGGTATTCAGGCGGAAGCGCAAACTGCATCTGGTCTTCGAGTATTGTGACCACACAGTACTGAATGAGTTGGACAAGTACCCCAGGGGGTAAGTGAGTGACAACCCCTTCCTTTTTTTTTGTCTTTAAAAGTCTGTCCAATTTTATGTCACTTTTCTATAAACACTGCACTGCTTAAAAGTTCTGCTTTTCGTTCTGAAGATAAATTACAACAATTTAGTTCCTGTGTTCAGATCATGTTGCTGGTAGTATGATTGATGCATATTTGACTTGCTTACCAGCTGAACTACTCTGCTTGCCAACTGTGAATCCTGGTGATTTGCCAGAACATCGCACATGAACCAAAGCATGGTGAGTCCAGGTTAGAGCACAATCCTTAATCAGGTACAAGACAAAACTCTATCCTGACTAAATTTTCTATTTTCTATACTTTCACACATATGGTAGTTAATTATACTACCCAATCTACTCTGGTATATCTTAGGATAAAGCAGCAGAGAGGTAGGCCATTCAGCCCATTGTACCTGTGCCAACTCTTTAAAAGATAATTACTCCTAGTCCCTTGCTCTTTCCTCAATTTTCTTCCTGAAAATATTTGTCCCCATTCTGTTCGGTAGTTGAGATCATCACAAATTGCATTATTTAAAAAAAGACTTTTGCCTCTGGTTCTTCTGCCAATTACCTTTAAATCTGTGTTCTTGCTTAACAATCATTCAGTCACTGAATACAATCTCTCTTGTCTGTCAAAACTCTTCATTATTTTGAACACCTCTATGAATCTCCACTTCTTACCTCTAAGAAGAACAGACAAAAAGTTTTTCTACTATTTACACATCGCTGAAGTCTTCAATCCATTCTGCCAATATCTGTGGAATGCTGTTCCCCAGTGACTGGTTGAGGCAGGGCTGTTACAAATTTTAAGGTCAAATTAGAGTGACTCTTGTCAGTCAAGAATCTAAGGTTATGGAGGGTAGTCAGAAAAGTAAAGTTAAAGTCAGTCAGTTCTTGGGCACTATTTGATTTTGTCAACTGGCAGAGCAGACTCAAGGGGCCGTATGCCTTACTTCCATCTATACTTTGTGAACCCTTCCCCCAGTGGTATCACACAAACGAGGAGCAGGATTAGGCCATTCAGTATGATCATACTGATCCTCTATATCAATGCTATGCTCCTGCTTCTCCCTGTACTCCTTGATGCCTTTAAAATCTAAAAATTTAACTCTTCCTTGAGTGTATTCAGTGACTTGGCCTGGACAGTCTTCTGCGGTAGAGAATTTCACAGGTTCGCACTCTTTCAGTGAAGAATGTTTTCCTCATCTCAGACATAAATGGTCTACCCTGTATCCTGACACTGGGTCCACTGGTTCTAGACTATCAAACCAAGGAAAATATCCACTCTGTGTCTAGTTTGTCCAGCCCTCTTAGAATTTCATACGTTTCAATTAGATCCCCCTCATCCTTCTAAACTCTAGTGAATACAGGCTCAGTCAAACTCTCCTCAGGACAGTCCTGCAATTCCTGGTACCAGCATCGTGAACCTCCACTGCATAATGAATCTGGAGACAGTAAGGACTGCAGATACTGGAAGCTAGAATCAAAAAACGTGGAGCTGGAAAAGCGCAGCAAGCCAGACAGCATCCAAGGAGTAGGGAAGTCAATGTTTCAGGTCGGAACCCTTCTTCAGGACTGGGTTAACCACTCCATCCCTCCCTGTCTTCTGCCCCCCGCCCTCCCCATCCCAAGCTGTGTCTTCTGCCCTGAAACGTCCATAATAAACCTACCTTTGTCGGGCAGGGAGACCAAAACTGCACATGATACTCCTGCTGCGGTCTCAACAAGGCCCTGCATAACTGCAGTAAGACATTCTGAACATGACTTCTTTTGCAATGAAGGCCAAAATACCATTAACATTCCTAATTGCTGACTGCACCTGCCTGTTTACACTCATTCACTGGTGTACCATGATACCCAGATTCCTTTGTACATTCATACTTTCTAATATATCACCATTTTAATAATATTCTTCCTTCTTAATTTTCACACTGAAGTGTATAACTTCTCATTTGGCCACATTGCACTGCATCTGCCATGTATTTTGCTCAATCACTCAACCTGTCTAGATCACTTTGAGGTTTTCTTACATCCTCCTCGCAATTCACAATCCTGCCCAGTTTTGTGTCAGCAAACTTGGAAATATTGCATTTGTTTCCCTCATCCAGATCATTGATATATATTGTGAATAGCTGGGGCCCAAGCACTGATTCCTTGTGGTACCCCATTAGTCACTACCTGTTACTTGGGAGGGGAAAAAGAACCATTCATTCCCACTCTCTGTTTCTGTCTGTTAACCAATTCTTGATCCATGCAAATACATCAACCCCATCACATGCACTTTAACTTCGCTCTCTAACCTCTTATGATGGACCTTATGGAAAGCCTTCTGGAAGACCAAATAAACTACGTCCACTGGTTGTCCTTTTATTTGTCCTCTAGTTGTGATCTCAAAAGACTGTAGAAGGTTTGTTAAGCAAATAATGGTAGAATCTGCCTTCCTTGTGCAACAGTACGTTTCGTCCTCCTTACATTGGTATTTACAGTAGGTACTGATTGCTTGTAATGGTTCATTATTACTCCAGCTCTTCTCTCCAAGCTTCGCATTCAAGTCGTCCTCAACTTATCCTGATCTAGTTTTCAGAATTCTAAATAATCTAGGTTTGTTATAGTCTCCTGGTTAAATGTATTAAAGAAACCCAAGGACTTGTTTCTGCTGGGAGAGTGGGCCCTTGCGGGCTAGGTGGATGCCAGTATGTATAACCTGAAGCCCTGCTACTTGCCTGTTACATTTGGGTCAGCTCAAATATGATTTGTCGTTTTCCGTTAATTAATCACTGTAAACTAATATATTCTCCCTGGGGTTAAACAGTGATCTCAAAAGCAGTGTAAACATATCCTCAGCTCTGTTCTGGAGATGAAAGGTCCTTTTCAACTGTATAATCCAGTTATTATCAGTGACTTTTTTTTTAAATTCATGCAGTCACTTAATAATAATGGTATCGCTGTGTTCTGCCAGTGTTCTAGCACCAGGGTTTGGCTCAGGGCCTTTGTCATTGCACGTTATCTAGGAGTCACTCATTGGTTGCCTGGTGACACATTGTGCCTGGAACTTCAAACCAAGGCCTAAAGGGAAAAGAATTTTGAGTGTTCAGCTGTGTGCAGTTAAACAATTAAAGGAAACCATTTCAAAAGCCCTGAGGAGCAACAACAGAACACAAAGGGTACTAGGAAAAGGTTAAGAATGCACAGATTGAGATGTATGATCTGAATTTTTTGGCTATTTACACTGCAAGAAAAGCCTTGGGTGCAGTGAACAGAGGTTGCTGCCTGACTTGTCTGACTCCATTTATTTTTATTGCTGATTACCTGTCAACTGTTACCCTGGAGTACCAAACACACCCTGGGCTTAATGATGATGCCTAGTTCTCCACTGAACAAGGACCAAAGCTGTCTAGGTCAAGAGACAAGGTGAAAAGTTGGGATTGGGTTGGTTTTAAAATCCGGTGGTGTATCAGGAGGATGGAAGACTAACAGTAGACATGTGTCTGCTTTACCCTAAACAATGCACAGACATACTATCAGATAATAAGACTGCAGTAACTCTGCATTTGGTTCAATCAACAGCACCTCCTGCACCCTCCGACGCACCCCACCCCCAAACAAAAACTGAACCACAGCTCTCTCTTCAACCTGCCACTGGCCTAGTGAATGACTGACTGTTAACTTACTTAACGTGCTGAGCAGGCTCTATAGCCCACGGTAGGTTTGCAAGTAGCATTTTACAGTCTCCGGGGTAACCGTTTATACTTCAATCCATTCTGGTGGCAACAGCAGGAGGAGTTAGGGGTCACAAGGGAGAGAGGGATGGAACGACAAAAAGAGGAGGAACTGTCGGTGGTGGTGGAGGGCGGAGGAATGCAGATGTCAAGAGGCTGATTGAGAGAAACGCACGTGAGAGGAGGGGAAAGCCAAGAACAGCAGAATGTGTAGTGTTTGCCATGGCAACAAGGCACTGTTTGCATTTGCTGGGAGCACACTTACAGTCAGAGTTAGGTTCTGTCCTGCATATTAACCAGACGGCTGCAGGGAAAGAAGTGTAGACTTAATCAGTTGATGGGAAACAATTAAACACCAGCTTTTAGATCCTAAAAGAATCTATCATTGTAAAGCAGCCATTTGAAATTTTATTTCCTGAGTAAGAGATGAAAAATTATAAACAGACTGAAAGTTAATTAAAATTGTACAGCAGAAAAATGGGACAAGAGTCAATTAAACAGAGTTAAACTTGTTTTCTAGACAATACATCGAGTAGCCCTATGTAGGACATTTAATAGAACTGTTCTAAAACACATTCCTGACCTATCAGGTTTGAGGCTTGATTTGGATTCAGTTCAACAACATCCTAATATTCCGGAGTGCTGGGTAATTGGATAGATTGGATTATAATCCAGCAAGACCCAGAGGACTACTATTCTATTTTAGCCAGCAAGGAGCCAAAATTAAATTCTGGAAAATCTCAATTATTACATATCTTCACACTTTCCCTGTTGGAAATAGTGGGAATGTCTTAGAAAGATTAACAAGTTGGTTATCATTACCTATTGAACTAAAGAGCAAATGGCAAGCACCACAGGTACAAGCCTTTTGACCCACCAAGCCTGCAGTGACGCATTACTCCTTTCTGAACTAAAAACTTTGTTTCTATGCAGTCTGTATCCCTCTACTTCCTGCCCTATTCGTGCATTTATCAAGTGTTGCTATTGTATCTGCTTCTATCACCTCTGCTGGCAACACATTCCAGGCACTTTAATTTTTAAAAAAACTGCCTGTCATAATTTTGTCAACTTCTGTCAGGTTGCTCCTCAGCCTCTGACATCCAAGTGAAGGCAACAGAATTTTTCCAATCTCTCCTCATAGCTAATACCCTCCAAACCAGGCAACATCCTGGTACAGCAAGGTGTAGAGCCAAGCAGCATCATAGGAGCAGGAAGGCTGACGTTTCGGGCCTAGACTCTTCATCAGAAATGGGGGAGGGGAAGGGGGTTCTGAAATAAATAGGGAGAGAGGGGGAGGCGGATAGAAGATGGATAGAGGAGAAGATAGGTGGAGAGGAAACAGACAGGTCAAAGAGGCGGGGATGGAGCCAGTAAAGATGAGTGGAGGTAGGGAGGAGATAGGTCAGTCCAGGAAGGACGGACAGGTCAAGGGGGCGGGATGAGGTTAGTAGGTAGGAAATGGGGGTGCGGCTTGAGGTGGGAGGAGGGGATAGGTGGGAGGAAGAACAGGTTAGGGAGGCGGGGACGAGCTGGGCTGGTTTTGGGATGCGGTAGGGGGAGGGGAGATTTTGAAGCTTGTGAAATCCACATTGATACCATTGGGCTGCAGGGTTCCCAAGCGGAATAGGAGTTGCTGTTCATTGTGGCACTGCAGGAAGCCCAGGATGGACATGCCGTCTGAGGAATGGGAGGGGGAGTTGAAATGGTTCGCGACTGGGAGGTGCAGTTGTTTATTGCGAACTGAGCGTAGGTGTTCTGCAGAGCGGTCCCCAAGCCTCCACTTGGTTTCCCCGATGTAGAGGAGGCCACAACGGGTACAGCGGATGCAGTATACCACATTAGCAGATGTGCAGGTGAACATCTGCTTGATGTGGAAAGTCTTCTTGGGGCCTGGGATGGGGGTGAGGGGGGAGGTGTGGGGGCAGGTGTAGCACTTCCTGTGGTTGCAGGGAAAAGTGCCGGGTGTGGTGGGGCTGGAGGGGAGTGTGGAGCAGACAAGGGAGTCACGGAGAGAGTGGTCCCTCCGGAAAGCAGATAAGGGTGGGGAGGGAAAAATGTCTTTGGTGGTGGGGTTGGATTGCAGATGGCGGAAGTGTCGGAGGATGATGCGTTGGATCCGGAGGTTGGTGGGGTGGTACGTGAGGACGAGGGGGATTCTTTTTTGGTTGTTATTGTGGGGACGGGGTGTGAGGGATGAGTTGCGGGAAATGCGGGAGACACGGTTTAGGGCGTTCTCGACCACTGAGGCGGGGGAAGTTGCGGTCCTTGAAAAACGAGGATATCTGAGATGTACGGGAGTGGAATGCCTCATCGTGGGAGCAGATGCGGCAGAGGTGAAGGAATTGGGAATAGGGGATGGCATTTTTGCAGGAAGGTGGGTGGGAGGAGGTGTATTCTAGGTAGCTGTGGGAGTCAGTGGGCTTGAAATGGATATCGGTTTCTAGGTGGTTGCCCAAGATGGAGACAGAGCGGTCCAGGAAGGTGAGAGAGGTGTTACAGATGGTCCAGGTGAACTTAAGGTTGGGGTGGAAGGTGTTGGTGAAGTGGATGAACTGTTTGAGCTCCTCGTGGGAGCACGAGGCAGCGCCAATACAGTCATCAATGTAACAGAGGAAGAGGTGGGGTTTAGGGCCGGTGTAGGTACGGAAGAGGGATTGTTCCATGTACCCTACAAAGAGGCAGGCATAGCTTGGGCCCATGCGGGTACCCATGGCCACCCCCTTTGTCTGTAGGAAGTGGGAGGAATTGAAAGAGAAGTTGTTGAGGGTGAGGACAAGTTTGGCTAAGCGGATGAGGGTGTCATTGGAGGGACACTGGTCAGGCCTGCGGGACAGGAAGAAGCGGAGGGCCTTTAGGCCATCTGTATGGGGAATGCAGGTGTATAGGGGCTGGACGTCCATGGTAAAGATACTGGTACACTTTTTCTGTACCCTCTTCAAAGCATGCACATTCTTCTGACCAGAACTGTACGCAGTATTCCAAATGTGTCCTCACTAGATTTCTATTCAGCTGCAACATGACTTGCCAATCTATGCTCCAACTGATGCAGGAAAGGATGCCATCCCTCTTGACCACTTTATCCACTTGTGTTGCTACTTTCAGGGAACTGTGGACCTGTACACCTAGAACCCTCTGTATGTTAATGCTTCTAAGAGTTCTGCCATTTATTTCCCTCCAGCATTACACCTTCCAAAATGCATCACCTTGCATTTGTCCAGATTAAATTTTGTCTGCTATTTCTGCGCCCAAATCTCCAGCCTATCTGTATCCTTGGCAATCCTCCTCGCTATTCTCAGCTACCCCAATCTTTATGTTGTCTGCAAACTTACTAATCAGACCACGTACATTCAGCTCCAAATCATTTATACATATAACAAACAACATGGGTCCCAGCACTGATTACTGTGGAACACCACTGGTCACAGATCTCCAGTCAGTAAACACCCTTCTACCGCTATGACCAAGCCAATTCTGTATGCATCTTACCAGTTCGCTGCAGATCCCATGTGACTTCACTCCTCTATCAGCATGCCATGAGAGACCTTGTCAAAGGCCTTTTGCTAAAGTCTATGTAGGCTACATGTACTTGCCCTCATCTTTGTCACTTTTTCAAAAACTCAACAAGTTTGTGAGACAACCTCCCATGCACAAAGCTATGCTGCCTGTCACCAATAAGTCCATATTTTTCCAAATGTAAATAAATCCTGTCCCTAAGAATTTTCCAATAATTTCCCTACCATTGAAGTAAGGCCCACCAACCTGTAATTTTCTGGATTATCTCTGTTGCCCTCCTTAAAAAAAGAAACAACGTTGTTATTCTCTCGTTCTCTAAGACCTCTGCTGTGACTAAACAGGATACAAGATTTCGCACAAGACCCCAGCAATTTCCTCCCTTATCATGAATGCTTTTAGTAGAACCAAAAAGTATTTGATTGAGTACTAAACACACTTCTGGCTTGGAGGCATAAGTGCTATCTTCTGAACCACAAGATATTTTTGAAAGTAACTGGTATGTGTCTGCCACAAGTTTTATTTTAATCTAAAAAATGGTTAGGAATGTCTAGTTTTCACTGTGGAATTCTTTTCTGGATCTAAAAGGAAGCTAGGATTTATTAGCAACCAACAGAAGTACAGGGAAACAATTACCCTCTGACTTTAAAGTGTTCCTAATTCACATTGATTATATGGTGTGAACTTAATGGGGCCTACTCCATAGCAGCAGAATAATACATTGTATGCAAGGATCAGGTAACACACTACAGGGATAACAGCAGGCCATTCAACCTCAAGTCTGTTTTCAGGATTCATTTGTTTGCCCAACTTTGCTTTGCTCCACGGACTTCAATTAGCTGGCAAAAAGCTATTAATTTTAATCTTGAATATTTCAATTAATTCATAGCCTTTTGCAGCAGAGACTTTCCACTGACCTTTCAAGTACAAGTGGTTTTTGAGTGGCTGGCTCAGAGTTTTATGAAAACATCCCCTTCCTTTTAATTCTCTACCAGATGCAAATGCATTCCAGTTGGAGTATGACTTAAGTTTCTGCACAACTGATGTGCAACTTGCTCATTTTTGGTTGTTGGTGTGGGGTTACAAGAAAAAGGCAGGAGATTGGCACCCAGTTAAAATTCTCAGAGAGCTGACACAGACATAATGGGCTGAATGGCCTGCTTCTGCACCATCATAATCCTGTGATTGTTGTGTTCTGTTCAATATTGAGATGTTCTGATTTGGTACCCACTCACCTTTCCTGCAGTTGCAGTCAGATTAAGGTGCAAAATGAAGTTACACAATTGACGAGCAAACTATTTCTCTGACCACAGAAAATTACTATCTAAAACAATTGAATCAAGTTGCTGCTACTAAGCTTCACAGATCTCAAGGCCCTGTGTTCTGTGGGTATTAGAGGAAATAAAAACAGACAGGATTCTTGCTTGTGATCACTTACTGTCCAGTGGCATATGAGAAAAGTGCACATGCATGTCTGTATGAGGTTAGTAAGGGCAAGGACTTCAGATATGGTAGTTCCCATGAATTGCTTGATTGCATGTTTTCTTATATTTGTTATGTCCAACTGGTAAAAGGTGATAGAGCCCAAGCAAAAATGTTGCAGAAGAGGGAGGAAGAAGGTAGTGGCAATGGTTACTAGCGTATAAAGTTTTAAACTACCCCCCGCAACAGCCCTGGAACTTTCTTGCAACAGTTCTGCAGGTGCCATTTATACCACTCCTGCCATGGCTGCTAATTAACTGCTGTCTCATTTAGTTTCATGTGACAGTAATTAATTTCTACTGCAACTATCTCATTTGCACAGAAGTGGGGTGCTTTCTAGTGTAGCAGTGAAGGCCTTGATAAAAAAGGATAATTAAAGTGTCAAGTGAAAGGAGACCTTTGTGACTATAAATATCAGACTCCTTGCAGTTCATGTCTGCAGCTTTAAATAATGCAGCATTACTTCTTTTAAAAATAAAAACCTCACCAGCTCCTCTTACACTGCCACACTTGAGCTGGTCCAGTTCAGTCTTGTGTAGGATCAGGTCTGATGTGAGGTTTGAATGACAGTACATTTAAAAAATATATATATATCTCTTTCTCTTCCCCCTTCCAGAGTTGCAGAGGATCAAGTGAAGAGCATCATAAGGCAAACACTGCAGGCTGTCAACTTCTGTCATAAGCACAATGTAAGTGTGAAGGAAAGAGTGCTAGGATGTACCAGGGATGGGCAGTACATTTTCATGATCTGGAATGCCTCTACAGAAACAGATTCAATAGTCAATTTCAGAAGAGAATTGGATAAACATTTAAAAGACTGCATTTATTGCAAACACCACCACTAGGTAATGCAGTGTCCATGCATGTGCAAGAACAAAGGTTTGCAGTGCTATGTAATTGCAGAGTTACAAAACAGCAGCAGCCAGGAATCTTACAGTCTTTAAGCACAGGCATGGCTAGTGTTGTTTGTCAGTATACTGTTAGGCAGCATATTTCCCCAACATCCACTGCACCAAGCCAGTGAGTATAGGTCAGCTTTAATTACCAGTACTTGTTAAACTCACCGACAGCATCTGGTTGCCTCAAGCTCTGAAGAACAATCACTAGCAGGCAATTCCTGCAGGCTGAGCTTGCACAAGTTGGGCTCTGCAATTCTCTCCCACCACGGTGCGATATCCTGTCTACTCTGTTCAGGCTTATCTGTGAAATGATCCTACGATGGAACCACATTAGGTTGCTGTGTGAAACTAGTTCCATTACTGAGTTGGCATGCTCACAAACAGTGTTGCATCATCCAGGTAATTCGGAGTCTTATGTGGCAGAGAAGGATGGCAGCTTGCTTTTGCTTCATTTGAGTGTTAACAATGTGCTACCGGTTTTCTTAGTCAGTTTTTGTGTTAAGCCACATTTGGTTTCATAACCTCACAATGATGAGATTTCAACCTGACCTCCAGATTGATACACTGGTTTGACAGCCGCATATTCAACCATTTATGCCTCTGTACACGTAGGACTGACTCTAAAGGAGCTGAATTAAATTATGCCAGTTGGTTCCTTCTTTTGTGGAGCCATAAGCCCACAGTACAAAATACCAACTGTGTAGTCTGTGGTAAATGACAATATATTTACCTCACCATGTAAAGCCTTGGACCAATGAATAAATTGCATGAACTCCTTGAGATTCTTGGCCTGGGTTACTCTTATGCTGATGCTGACTGACTTTCAGTGACTGTGTTTCTCTCCCTCTCTCCCCCTCCCCCTCTCCCTCTCTCTCTCCCTCCCTCTCTCTCTCTCAGTGCATCCACAGAGATGTGAAACCAGAGAATATCCTCATCACCAAGCACGGAGTCATCAAGCTCTGCGATTTCGGCTTTGCAAGAATCTTGAGTGAGTTTCCTTTCTCCATCAGAGATGCCAAACCTACGGCAACACTTCTGTATGTATATTATTTGGTCAGTTGAAGAGATTTTTAACTTTTAAGTTACTCAATCTTACATTTCAGGGCCTCAACTTAGGAAAAAGAATAAACGTTTGAGCAAATATGTGGAATCTCTTATTTTGGCCAAGCCAGCAAATAATATTGCAATGAATTGTAATTACAGTGAAGTGAACAACTGTAAATTTCCCCTAACTGCTGCAAACTATTCATGGCATGAAAATTTGACCAGCTGTGTAAAAGTTGTGTAGGAGAATAATGTAGATTAATATTAATACGAAGGATCTGGTGGGATGGTTACAAAATATAGATTAGTTTAAATCTAGATATTTAGAATATGAATTGAGTATGACCATCAATAATACAATAGCAAGGTAGGTAGAAACACTACATTTGAAGATTCTGAGGGAAGATTGAAGTGGATGGTGTCACACTAGAACGGGGTACAAGTTTGTCCATGTTAGGATAAATGATAACATAATATTCAGCAAGATAGAAGAAGGTTAGAAAAAAACAAAATTAATTTGATGAAGATGAAGGAATGAGCATCTATAGGGAAAAACCTCCAATATGGTGCTACATTCTGTCCATTTTCCTATATACCTCAAAACTTGGAGTAATCTGTAAACAAATGAGTAAAAATCTGTGGCAGAAAATGGAGGCTATTTAAACAAAGACGGTAGGATAGGAACTGAAAATTATGTATATAGACAAAAAAAATGAACAGGTAAATGAAAATACAAGAACAGAAAGAACGCTTTTAGAAAGTGATGTCAGTACTTCGGCCAATTAATCAGAGCTGAAAAGTTGCTCTCTTCTAGCAGGTAAAGTGGAGGGCAGCAAAAAGAGGGATCAGCCAATGGACAGTGACAGTGAAATAATGACAATATACTTTCAAGTGAGGATAATGTGTGGCTTGGCGAGGAACACGTGGTTGGACGGTGTTCCTTCGCACCTGCAACCCTTGTTCCTCTAAATGGTAGCAGTCTCATGTTTGGAAAGTGCTACTGGAGAAGCCATGGTAAGTTACAGCAATTCATCTTGTAGATGGTATACACTGCTGTCACTGTGCACCATTGGCAAAGATGGTAGATAAGGTGCTGGTTAAGCAGACTGCTTTGACCTGGGTGGTGTTAAGTTTCTTGATTATTGTTGGGACTGCATCCATTCAAGCAAGGTGAGAATATCATCACACTCCTGACTTGTGCCTTGTAGAAGGTAAACAGGTTTTGGGAAGTCACAAGGTGAGTTACTCTCCACAGAATTCCCAGTCTCTGATCTGTTCTTGTAGCCACAGCATTTGCATATTTGGTTGTGATCAGTTTCTGGTCAATTATAATTCCGAGGATATTGATCGTAGGGGATTTAGCAATGGTAATGCCATTGAACATCAAGGATGATTCTCTCCAGTTTGATATGGTCATTTTCCAGTGCTTGTATGGCGCAAATGTTATTTGCCATTTATCAGCCCAAGCCTGGATGTTGTCCAGATCTTGCTGCATGTGAACAGTATCTGAAGAGTCATAAATGGTGCTGAACATTGTGCATTCTTTAGTGCACATACGGCCCTTATGATGGAGGGAATGTGTTTGCTGTAGTAACTGAAGATTGATCGGGTAACAAACTCCCTGAAAAGCTCTTGCAGTGATGTCCTTGGGCTGATATGATAGACCTCCAACAACCACAACCATCTTCCTTTGTGCCAGATATGACTCCAACCAGAGGATAACTTCTCCCTCCTCCAGTTCCCATTGTTGGCAGTTTTTCTGGGGATTTTTTATGTTTTACTTGGTCAAAGGCTTCCTTGATGATTAGAACAATAATCAACAATCAACAATTTTTAGAACAATCACTGTCACTTCACTTCTGGAGTTCAGCTCTTTTTTTGTCTTTGTTCAGACCAATGCTGTAATGCAGTCAGGAGCTGAGTACCTCTGGCAAAACCCAACTTGAGTGTCAATGACCAGGTTTTTGCTGAGCAACTGCCTCTTGATAGTACTGTAAATGACCCCTTTCACCATTTCTGTGTTCAAATGTAGACTGATAGAATGGTAATTAGCTGGATTGGATTTGTCTTTTTTGTGGACAGACTGTAGCTGACCAATTTTCCTCATTGATAGGTAGTCTCCAGTGCAGTGAAGCAACTTGACTAAGGGTGCAGTTAGTTCTGAAACACAAGTCTTCAGTACTATTGCTGGAATGTTGTTGTCAGCACCCACAACCTTTACAGAATCCAGTGCCTTCAGCTGTTTCTTGATATCACATAAAATTAATCAAATTAGTTGAAGATTAGTATCTGTGATGCTGTAATGTCATGGCGTGTAATATCCTGGGCTAATATTTATAACACAACCAACATTGTTAAAGACAGATTATCTGATCATTTCAATATTGCTGTTGTGAGATCTTGTGATTTGAAAATTGGCTGTCATGTTTCCTACCTTACAATAATAACTCCATTTCAAGAACATTTAATTGGCTGTAAAGCATTTTGGAGGACATGCTGAAGTCATGGGTGTCATTGGGAGTTTTTTTTTCGTAAGTACGAGAAAGGCAGTTGACAGACCGGAGTGGGTGGGCCGAGTGACCTGAGAGGTTCAAAGTAGGTGCCCCTCTTGGGATCCCTACTGTTTGTTGTCCGTAGATGTGATTGACCTGGGCTGACATTAACATGTTAACATCCTAATCACTCTGTTCCAGCTGGTCCAGGGGATGACTACACTGATTACGTGGCAACTCGCTGGTACCGTGCCCCGGAACTTCTGGTCGGAGATACGCAGTATGGACCACCAGTGGATGTCTGGGCAATAGGCTGTGTTTTTGCTGAGCTCACCTCAGGCAATCCTCTGTGGCCTGGCCGGTCAGATGTCGATCAGCTCTATCTAATCAGGAGGACACTGGGTGAGCTGCAGATCCTAGAACAGTTCCAGTCATTGCTGTTGCTTAGTTGTGCTGACACCAAATGCACTTCTGTTGTATGGGTCATGTTAATTAATGAACAGAGAGTATAGTATAAATCTGAATAAGTAGTGAATGCTCCAAAGGGGTTCCATAACTGGTTAGATCTTTGTGACAAAATGTCATTATTTTGAAGTATTTCCTTATTGAACTGTAAAGTCTGTAGTGCATTGATAATTCAGTCCGTAATAGGGTTTAATTTCTTTCAAATGGTCTAGTATAGGACTTTTTTACGTCTGGTATTCTATTTGAAACCTGTCTAGGAACCATAATATATCACTTTGAGTGTCTGGTTGTCCCCCACCAGAGCTGATGAACTCAGTATGTGTGAGAAATTCCCACCATAGCTAACAAGCTCACGCTCATGAGGTTCCCACTGTGACTGATGAACGTCCAATCTCAGCACTAGTCCTAGCCGTGGCCATGGATCCTTTACCATTGCTCAGCCTTGGAGAAGGATGGCAAAGCTCCACTCTACACCCTGTTTCCATCTGAGCTGAGCATGGGGTTAGTTTGTGTCAGTATTCTGGAGGTCCATCAGCCACTATCCAAACCGTCATGTCCATGGTTGACAATTTGGTTAGATCTGTGTCTGGAAGTGTTATCACATGACTACCTGCATCGATCACAGATGTGACAGTAGTTACCCAGAATGTGGTGCTCTGCCTTCTCATGTCCAATGGAAAGTGAACTCGTGCTTAGTCAAGTCTTGGCTGCCAGTTGACAACCTCAACTCTCCCTCTCTTAGGTATCCAATAAAAAGGAAAAAAAAATTTGTTTAAATCCTCACGATTTTTTTCCAGAATTGCTTGTCGCAGTATCCAGGAAATAATCATTTGTCCTGGAGACTACAGAGAGAGTTGGCAACCTCCTTATCACTGTACATCCTACTATACATATTTGCAAGGCATCAACAACTGGAAATATTATGAACTAATGTAAGCAAAAGCTTGCAGCCTAGATTCACACCTCCAATATTTCCACTCTCGGTCTTTGGAACCTCAAAAAGAAGGGAGGAATCTTTGTAACATTGAGGTTCAGTATTGGCTTTTTGTGCTCCTGAGCTAAGCTGGTTTTAAGATCCTAAAATACTGCACACTGCAATCCCTGCCATCTTAGTGGATGAATGTAAAAGCAAGCCACTGTGGACGCTGAAGATCTGAAACAAAAACAGGAAGTACTGAAGAAACTGAGCAGGTCTGGCAGCATCTATGGAGAAAGAAACAGGTCCAATATGACTGGCTTTCTGGAAAAAAAAGGAGTTCCAGAGAAGAGTCATATCAGATTTAACGTTAACTATTCCTCTCTCTACAGAGGCTGCAAGACTTGCTAACTTTCCCCAGCACTTCCTTTTTTTTTAATTCAATGATAGCTGGGTATTTTGCTTGATGTTATGCCTGATTACATGCTTCGCATTGACACTGATTATTTCTCTCTGTTCCCACAGGTGATCTCATCCCTCGGCACCAGAAGGTGTTTAGTTCCAACCAGTTCTTCAGTGGAGTCAGTATTCCAGTTCCTGACATTATGGTAAAGGACCTCCTTTCTTTTTTAATTAAATGAATGACCTGCATTTCTAAAGTTGTTTTCAGTTGTTTTCAGCGGCAGGAGTCTGGGAGAAAGAGCAAGGGCAGCCTGGGAAGGTAAGCTTCCACCCAATAAATTTGGGAGTTAACTAATACCCGAGACCCTACACGCGTAGTGTCTCCCACCCTTCCACTTCCTCTAACCTAATAATAACGACTAAGTGTGGTGAGCAGGTAAGCTATTTGCATTTTTTTTTCCCTCATCTCTTTGTTTATCTTTCGGGGTGGTCACCTAGATGCGAAATCCTCTGGGAGCGGGTCAGAAGGCAAAGCCGGAGTCTGTTTGAGTATATAATGGAGTAAACTTACTGGTGCAGACAACACTGCAAAACTAAAAAAAAACTATTTAATTTTAAATAATTAACTGAGTAGAGATGGCAGGCCAGGTGATGTGTTGTAGCTGTATGATGTGGGAGCTAGCTGATCCCATTGAGAACGGCAGTGACCACATGTGCAGCAAGTGTTGGCTGCTTGAGGAGCTCCGGCTCAAAATTGATGAACTGGAATCCGAACTCCAAACACTGCGGCACATCCGGGAGGGGGAGAAATACCTGGATGCTGTGTTCCAGGAGGCAGTCACACCTAGTAGATTAACTAATGTTAATTCGATCGGCAGGCAGGGACAGCAGTGTGTGACTGCAAGTGAGGCAGGTAGAGGGACCCTGCAGACAGGAACACCGGAGCCGCAGCCCTTGACATTGTCCCACAGGTATGAGGCACTTGCTTCCTGCGTGGATGAGGAACAGGGCTGCAGGAAGGATGAGGCAACTGACCAAGGCACCATGGTCCAGGAGGCCATTCAAGAGAGGGGAGCAAAAAGACAGATTGTAGTTGTAGGGGATTCCATCATCAGGGGGATAGATAGTATCCTTTGCGAGCAGGATAGAGAATCCCGCATGGTGTGTTGCCTGCCCGGAGCCAGGGTGCGAGACATCTCTGACCAGCTTGAGAGGATACTAGAGAGGGAGGGGGAGGATCCAGTTGTTGTGGTCCACGTAGGTACCAACAACATAGGCAGGACTAGGAAAAAAGACCTGTTTCGGGATTATGAAAAGCCAGGAACAAAACTTAAAAAACAGGTCTTCAAGGTCATAATCTCTGGATTGCTGCCCAAGCCACATGCAAATTGGTATAGGGAGGCGAGGATCAGGATCAGTGGCTAAAAGAGTTGTGTGGGAAAGAGGGTTTCCTTTTCCTGGGCACTGGCATCAATTCTGGGACAGGAGGGATCTATACCGCTGGGATGGACTCCACCTGAACAGGGCCGGGTCCGGTGTTCTGGCAAAAAGGGTAAATAGGTTAACAGGACTTTAAACTAGTAAGTAGGGGGGAAGGGAGAAGTGAGCATAGAGGGACAATAACAATTAATGTAAGGCAAAGCAGCAGGTTAGCAGGTGACGAGGAAGCTTCAACTCCATTGAAAATTAGGAACAAAGTTAAAGGGAAGGAGAACTCAAGAACTGTTAGTAATGGAGGTAATAGGACCCAAAAAGAAGGTGCAAAAACTGGCATAAGGGCACTTTATCTGAATGCTCAGAGCATTCGAAACAAGGTGGATGAGTTGACGGTGCAAATCTGGCCAATGGGTGTGATTTAGTGGTCATTACAGAGACATGGTTACAGGATGGTCATGACTGGGAGTTATAAATCCAGGGGTATCAAACTGTTCGGAAGGACAGACAGGAAGGTAAGGGAGGTGGTGTTGCTCTGATTTTTAAGAATGATATCAGGACGGTAGTTAGAGATGATATAGGTTCTACTGAACAAAACGTTGAATCCATTTGGGTGGAAATTAGGAATAGCAGGGAGAAGAAGTCACTGACAGGTGTGGTCTATAGGCCACCAAATAATGACATCGTGGTGGGGCGGGCAATAAACATAGAAATAGCTAATGCATGTAAAAATGGTACAGCAATTATCATGGGGGATTTTAATCTACATATCGATTGGTCAAACCAGGTCGGTCATGGCAGCCTTGAGGAGGGGTTCACAGAATGCATCCGTGATAATTTCCTTGAACAATATGTAATGGAACCTACGAGGGAGCAAGCTATCCTAGATCTAGTCCTGTGTAATGAGACAGGAATAATTAATGATCTCACAGTTAGGGATTCTCTCGGAAGGAGCGATCACAGTATGGTTGAATTTAACATACAGATGGAGCACGAGAAGGTTAAATCCAGTACCTATGTCCTGTGCTTAAACAAAGGAGACTAGGAAGGAATGAGGGAGGAGTTAGCTAAGGTAAAATGGGAGCAAAAACTTTATGGTGGGTCAATTGAGGAACAGTGGAGGACTTTCAAAACAATTTTTCACAGTGCTCAGCAGAAGTATATTCCACTGAAAAGGAAGAACTGTAGGAAAAGAGAGAGCCAGCCATGGATGTCTAAGGAAATAAAGGAAAGTATCAAATTGAAAAAAGAACACATACAAAAAAGCAAAGAGTAGTGGGAAACTAGTAGACTGGGAAATCTTTAAAGGCCAACAGAAAGCCACAAAAAAAGTTATAAAGAAAAGTAAGATAGATTATGAGAGTAAACTAGCTCAGAATAAAAAAACAGGCAGCAAAAGTTTCTATAAATATGGAAATCGTAAAAGAGTGGCGAAGGTAAACATTGGTCCTTGAGAGGATGAGAAGGCCAATTTAATAACTGGGAATGAGGAAATAGCCGAGACATTAAACAGTTATTTCGTGTCAGTCTTCACTGTGGAAGACACAAGTAACGTGCCGTAAACTAATGGCAAGAAGGTTATAGCAGGTGAGGACCTAGAAGCTATCATCATCATTAAGGAGGCATTGCTGGGCAAGCTAATGGGGCTAAAGGTAGACAAGTCTCCTGGCCCTGATGAAATGCATCCCAGGGTACTAAAAGAGGTGATGGGGGAAATAGCAAATGCACTAGTAATTATTTACCAAAATTCACTGGACTCTGGGGTGGTTCCCGCAGATTGGAAAACAGCCAATGTGACGCCACTGTTTAAAAAAAGGAAGTAGACAAAAAGCAGGTAACTATAGGCCAGTTAGCTTAACTTCGGTAGTGGGGAAAATGCTTGAATCTATCATTAAGGAAGAAATAGCAAGACATCTGGATATAAATTGTCCCAATTGGGAACACCCAGCATGGGTTCATGAAGGGTAGGTCATGTTTAACTAATTTGGTGGGATTCTTTTGTGGACATTACTTGCATGGTGGACAATGGGGAACCTGTGGATGTGGTGTATCTGGATTTCCAGAAGGCATTTGACAGGGTGCCACACCAAAGGCTGCTACATAAGATAAAGTTGCACGGTATTGCAAGTAATGTATTGGCATGGATAGAGGATTGGTTGACCAGTAGAAAGCAAAGAATAGGCGTAAATGGGTGTCTTTCTGGTTGGCAGTCAGTGGCTAGTGGTCTGCCTCAGGGATCAGTGTTGGGACCGCAATTGTTTACAATTTACATAGATGATTTGGAGTTGGGGACTAAGTGTGGTATATCAAAATTTGCAGATGACACTAAGATGAGTGGTAGAGCAAAGTGCACAGAAGACACTGAAAGTCTGCAGAGGGACATAGATAGTCTGAGTGAGTGGGCAAAGGTCTGGCAGATGGAGTACAATGTTGATAAATGTGAGGTCATCCATTTTGGTAGGAATAACAGCAAAATGGACTATGTTTTAAATGGTGAAAAATTGCAGCACGTTGCTGTGCAGAGACACTTGGGTTTCCTTGTGCATGAATCGCTAAAAATAGCATTGCAGGTGCAGCAGGTAATTAAAAAGGCAAATGGAATTTTGTCTGCCATTGCTAGACGGATGGAGTTTAAAAACAGGGAGGCTATGCTGCAGCTGTATAGGGTCCTGGTGAGGCCACATCTGGAGTACTGTGTGTAGTTTTGGTCTCCTTACTTGAGAAGAGATATACTAGCACTGGAGGGGGTGCAGAGGAGATTCACTCGGTTGATTCCAGAGTTGAGAGGGTTGGATTATGAGGAGAGACTGAGTAGACTGGGATTATACTCATTGGAATTCAGAAGAATGAGGGGAGATCTTCTAGAAACATAAGATTATGAAGGGAATAGATAAGGTGGAGGCAGGGAGGTTGTTTCCGCTAGCAGGTGAAACTAGGACTAGAGGGCATCACCTCAAAATAAAGGGAAGCAGATGTAGGACTGAGGTCAGGAGGAACTTCTTCACCCAAAGGGTTGTGAATCTGTGGAATTCCCTGCCCAGTGAAGCGGTTGAAGCTACCTCACTGAATGTTTTTAAGGCAAGGCTAGATAAATTTTTGAACAGTAAAGGAATTAAGGGTTATGGTGAGTGGGCGGGTAAATGGAGCTGAGTCTCAAAAAGATCAGCCATGATCTTATTAAATGGCGGGGCAGGCTCGAGGGGCCAGATGGCCTACTCTTGCTCCTCTTTCTAATGTTCTTATGTGTCTCTAACAGCCTTGGGATGTCCCAAACCACTTTTAAAGCCAATGAGATACTTCTAAAATGTAGTCACTGTCATAAGAAATATGGTAGCCAATTTGCACACAGGCACTCTCACAGACAGTGAAGAACATTTACAAGATAATCGATTTTAGTGATCTTTCTTTAGAGAGATTATGGCCAGCTCTTCTCTCCTTTGAAATAGTGCTTTGTGGAGCCTTGTGATCTTTCATACAGTCCCTTTAACTTATCATCTGAAAAACAGTGAATGGAATTTGAATCCCTTTCTCTCTCTCTCTCTCTCTCTCACACACACTCTCTTCCCCAAAGGTTCATATGAGTTTGACAGCAGGAAGATTATTCTCTCAGGTGGGAGAGTAATGATTGGAAATCCTATTGCCTTCCTGTCTTACCTACAATTAAGTCCATGGCAAGAAGATTTGTAGATGGTATGACCACCCTGCCACCAACTGAGGCCCTCAAGTAGGCATTTAATGCCCATTCAAAGTCATTATTTCATTGTCATTGGCAGCCATCTACCAAACAGGTTAATATATCATGCTTGAAGCTGAAAAAGCAAATCCTCTTGGGGTTGTCTGTGGGCTTCTGGAAAGAGGGTGCTCCCATTTAAAGGCACTCAGTGCCTGATCAAAGGACTTTGTGTTGGATGTGGGAGAGCATGCTGAAACACCATCACCCCCAACTTCAACACTCCCTCTCTTAGGTATCCAATAAAAAAGAAAAAAAACGTTCCTTTCCTCCCTCCACACAACATCCTTCCAATCATCACTCAACTATGCCTGGGTCCCTCAGTTATTCCAGACCTTGGGTGAATAAATTACCAGGTAGCCATTGCCTCCTTGCTAGTGCTTCAGAGCTGCTGGTCACTGATCGCAAGTAGTTTTCAGCAGGCAAGACCTCTCTTTCCTATGTCCTTGATCAGAGGGAAGGTCCACTGCTCTGAGCTTAAGTGCCTGATTCACATTTAGTTTGTCAGGTCTTCCAAAAAGTGGCGAAATGGGACTCTCACCAGCTCTGCAGCAGTCATTTTCAATGAATACTGCCAGCGTCCCTGATAGTGCTGTAGGATTGCTGCACTACACACGAATGTTGTCCTGGACTGCATCTGAGCAGGATTTGAAACCACAGCCATCCGCGTCAGGGGTGAGAGTATTGCCCACTAAGCCACAGCTTGTAACCAAAGGCAAATTCACAAACTGGTGCTCATCCACTTGGATGCCTCAGTATTGTACAAATAGGCTACATTCCGACCAGTGGTTCCAGCTGAGAGTTAACCAATCTCAACAGCTGAGACACTTAGAATACTATGGAACTGAAGGAGACCATTCAGCCTATTACGCCTGCATCACACCTCTGACAAGCATTCTGACAGTGCCATTCACATGCCTTTTCCCCATACCCTTGCACATTATTTGAATAAAAACAATCATCTAATACCCTCTTGAATGCCTCAATTGACTCAATCTTCGCCATGCTTAGTTCCGCGTAGTATATTCCACACCTGAAGGTCCTTTAAAGTGGTTTTTTTTTTTTTTTAGTAATTCTTGCTTCCATTCCTCTATTAGTTATTTTCTCCCGACATGAGGGAGATGTCTTAAACACCAGCTCGGCTTCACAATGAGATTGAAGGCTCATGCCATACTAAAGGGTGTGAACTGAGGCAGTGAGTACTGGCGAACCAATCAACTGGAGAGAGCTTCACTGTTACAACAGGTTCTGCTCTCATCTGGATTGCTTGTATCTCCATAAGGTGGATAGTGACTAGGAGCCAGAATCCTGACTAATTATTCTCACTTTGGTTAACCCTACTGCCTTCCCAAACTTGGCATTCCTGGCTTGGTGGAGAGGAGGCCAACTGTAAGAATCTACGTGCCTCTGCAGCTGAGATAGACAAACTTGTGACTGGAACCATTGGTTGGTAGATAGCCTTTTGGTACAACACTGAGGCATCCTAGTACTTTCATAGAGGGTGGTTGGTGGGGAGAGAAAGGAAGGGGCAAGTGGGGGGAGGAAAGGGGGGGCGGTGTGGGTAGCGTAGATTACATTTGGAAATGGTGCTCGGATTCCTGCCAGAGTGCAATGAGGATCAGTCAGAGCACTAACTTTGCTGTTTGTTTGTGTTGCCCCACCCAGGAACCATTGGAAGTGAAGTTTCCACACATATCTGCTCAGGCACTTCACTTAATGAAGGTGAGTGAACAGTACCAGCTGCCCATAAGCTTTTGCAATGTGAAACATTCTAAATATCACTGCACTGGGAAGGATATACAGAACACATCCTGAGCACCTCCAAGTTGACCAATGTTAATTAGGGCTGTGGAATTATCAAAAGCACACCGACTGCTGTTCCATATGGTACTACTTGCTTACATTTAAGCCATTAATGTACTAGAAACGTTAACCCTGTCTATCTAACTGTATTGTGAACACCGTACCACTTATGGCAACATTTCAATATATGATATAATCAAATTTTGTTCTAATTGTATGTATAGTCTCACTTCTGACTTCTAATTCCCAAAAACCTGTACATCTATACAGCACAAGTCAGGAGTGTCATGGAATTGCCTGCACTTGGAGCCACACTCATCTAAGCAAGCAACTCCAGTCACTCCCCAATCTGATTATCTATATTCATGCATTCTCATACTTGCACTCTCACCCTAATTTAGATTTCATCAAAAAACTTCTTATTCTCTATTTTAGTGCTCTCTGCCTCTCCTTTTGTGCACCCTGGTATAACTTTTCAATATTCTCTCTTGGTTCCCACACCACTAATGAGTGGTTTAAACCCTCCACAATAGCAACAGTGAAACTCCCTGCAAGGAACATAGTCCCAACTCTCTTAACTGTAACCCATCAAGCCAGTACAGGTGATACCACCCCCAAAGTCGGTCCCAGTGTGCCAAGAATCTAAAGCCCTCCCTTCTGCACTATCTTTTTAACCATGCATTGATCAGTTTTATCTTCCTTTTTTGTACACAATTGCACATGAAACTGGCAGCAATCCGGAGATTACTACTTTAGAGGTCCTGCTTGCTAACTTTCTACTTAGCTTCTTAAAGTTTGATTTCATGACAACATCCCCGTTCCTACCTATATCATTAGTAGCAATGTAGACCATGACTACTGACTGATCTGAGGGAGGGCAAACAATGTCCTGTAACCACTCTGACATTTTAACCGTAGCACCAGGTATGCCATAAAGCACCTCGAATTCACATTGACAACTGCAGAAATGCCTACATGTTCCCTAAAAACTGAAAAAAATCAGTCCTTGCCTTCCATGCTTCTTACTCCCCTCCTGTACTGCTGGGCCAGCTGCACTCCTTCAAGAGTCTGTCACCCTTAAAAACCAAAAGAACTGTAAATCAGAAACAAGATCAGAAGTTGCTAGAAAAGCTCAGCTGGTCTGGCAGCATCTGTGAAGAGAAATCAGAGTTAACATTTTGGGTCCGGTGACCCGTCCTCATAACTGATGGTAGCTAGGAAAATGCTGGTTTGTGTGCAGAAGATAGGGTGGGGGGGAGGGGGTAAGGAGTAAACAATAGATGGAGACAGAGCCCAAAGAGAGAGAAGAACACTTCAACAGACAAAGGAGTGGATAACGATCTGGCTAGGAGAGTGAATAGCTGATAATAGAGACTGTTAGTGGCTAACAATAGTAGTGTATAATGGCAGACTGTGAGATAACAAGGCCTGGCATGTGTAGTTGAGGGATAGGCCATGGAAGAGTTCAGGCCCTAAATTATTGAACTTAATATTGAGTCCAGAGGGCTGCAGGGTCCCCAAGCTGAAAATGAGGTATTGTTCTTCCAGCTTGCATTTGGCTCAGCTGGACCACTGCAGCAAGCCTGAGACAGATGTAGGCCAGGGAACAGGGCGTTGTGTTGAAGTGGCAGGCAGCTGGAAGCTCAGGGTAATTTTTGCGGACAGAATGTAGGTGTTCTGCGAAGTGGTCACCCAGTCTACGCTTCGTTTCCCGAATGTAGAGGATACCACACTGTGAGCAGCGAATACAGTAGGCTAGATTGTGAGAAGTGCATGTAAAGTGCTGCTTCACCCGGAAAGTATGTTTGGGCCCTTGGATACTGAAGAGGGAGGAGGGAAATGGACAGGTGTTAAACCTTCGGCGATTGCAGGTGAAGGTGCCATGGAACTGTGGGGGGTGCTGGGAGTGGAGGGAGAATGGACCAGGGTGTCTTTGGAGGGAACAGTCTCTGCAGAAGGCGGACAATGGAGGGGAGGGGAATATGTGTCTGACGGTGGCATCTTGCAGGAGGTGGCAGAAATGGCAGCTGATGGTCTTCTGGACGTGGATGCTGGTTGGATGGTAGTTAAAGACAAGGGGAACCCTATCACTGTTGCAGGAGTGAAGAGGGTGGGTGAGGGCAGAAGTGCAGGAGATGGGTCGGACGCGGTTGAGAGCCCTATCGACAACAGTGCTGGGGAACATTCCTTACCCGCCCCCGGCCCCCTTCTGCATATTAAACCGACATTTTCCTAGCTACTCTCAGTTCTGCAGAAGGGTCACCAGACCTGAAACGTTAACTCTTAATTTCTCTTCACAGATGCTGCCAGACCTGCTGAGCTTTTACAGAAAATCAGTTAGTGAGCAGGACCTCTTAGTCTCCTGCCCTACCTCCCTGTTTCTCTTGGACTGCCTGGCAGTCACCCATTCCCTCTCTGCCTGCTTGCCCCTAACTTGCAGTGTGACCGCACCTTTGAATGTACTACCCATGTTGGTCTTTGCCTCATGGACACCCCTCTGAGATTCTAGATACTGCTACAGCTTATACAGATAGTCACATGTCCTGCACAGAGACTGGTCTAGTCATGATTAGTGGTTATCTCACTCATTCACAGGTCCAGGTGGATGTGCCTTGATCTCTGCTAAATTCTGTAAAACAAAAAAATGCTTCTGTTGAAGAATTAATAAGGGCTTGTTGTTAAAATCTGTTACCTCTATGTTTATCTCAGGGCTGTCTGATGATGAATCCCTCAGACAGGCTGACATGTGAACAGTTGCTGCAGCACCCACACTTCGACAGCTGCCGTGAGGAGATGGACAAAGATGCTGAGAAGCTAAACAGGAAGCATGAGAAGATGCCACGCAGGCGCCCACCTGGCGTAAGGGCATAGAATGTTTCAATCCAGTATAACTGGCTAGCCATTTTATTCATCAAGGAACTGTAAGCCACAAGTGGATGAGGTGGATAATGCACGAGGGATTATAATCTTGTCAAATGCATCACATTTCTCAATCAGTTTCATATGCCCATGAGGACATTTTTAAAAAGGAGCAGGAATAGGCCATGCCACCATTCAAGCTTGCTCCACCATTCAGCAAGATGGTTGATCAGATTTTGTCCTCCACTCCCTTTCCTGCTTGCTCCCTAAATCCCTTCATTCCACTATAATTCAATAATTTGTTTGTATCAACCTGAATATATTCAGTGACTCCATTCCTATTGCTATCTGGTGTAGATGATTCCGAAGATTCAAAACCCTCAGAAGAAATTTCTCCTCATCACCATCTCAACTGGGAGACTGCCTATTCTGGAACACATCCCCTAGTTCTAAAATCCCAGAAGAAGGAACTATCTGTGAGAATTTACCCTGTGCAAGCCCTCTCATTAATTTATGATTTAAAAAGAGTACCTTGCGTGCTTCTAAATCCCAGTGAGTATAGGTCCTTTCCTCGTTAATTATCCCAAGAATCAACCTGGTAAACCTTCTCTGAACTGCCTCTACAATATATGTATATCCATCATGATCTAGAAAAACCAAAACCACAGTACATCTAGGTGTGGTCTTGCCACCACCCTGTACAGTTGTAGCAAACCTTTCCTATTTTTATACTCTATCAGCTGTGCAATATAGGTCAACATTACATTTGTCTTCCCAATTACAAGCTGTACCTGACTGTCAACCTTGTTTAAGGTACAAGGACATCCAGTCCTCTTGTTACCACAATTTTCCACTATATCTTAATTTAAATAACATTCTGCTTTTCTATTTTTGCTATTAAAGTAAATAGTTTGAGTTTCCCACATTTTAACTCAAACTTAAATTTTCTTTATTGACTCAAACTATCTGAATGCTTTTACAGAATCTTTGTGCGCTTCATAGAACTTACTTGCCAATCTGTCTTTGGGTCATCAGCACATTTGGCTACACCTCCCTATGTCCATTTATCTAAGACGTGAACATAAATAGTAAATAGTTCAGCCCCTAGCAATGATTCCATCGGCATCTCATTAGTGGAAGTTTGCCAATCTGCAATTTACCTATTTATCCAGAATCATAGTCCTAGAAGTCCACAGCACAGAAAAAGGCCTTTGCGTCTGCACTGGTCAAAAACAAGCACCCAACTATTCCAATCCCATTTTCCAGCACATGGCCCATAACCTTGTATGCCTAGGTGTCGTAAGTGGACATCTAAATACTACTTCAATGTGATGAAGGTTTCTGCCTATGCCACCCTTAGAGGTAGTGAGGTCCAAATTGCTGGCACCCTCTGGGTGAAAAAAATTTCCCCCACAGCTCCTCTGAACCTTCCAGCCACTTACCTTAAATCTACGCCCCCTGGTCATTGATCCCTCCATCAAGGGGAAAAGTCTCTTCCTGTCTATGCCTCTCAATATTTATACATGTCAGTCTTTCCCCCCTCAGTCTCCTGAGAAAAAGAAAAGAACCTCAGTCTATCTAATTTCTCTTTATAACTGACACTCTCCAGTCCAGGAAATATCCTGTAAATCTTCTGCAACCTCTCCAGCACAAACACATTTCTGGTAAAATGTGGATCCTAGAACTGCACATAATACTGTAGCTGTGGCCTATCCAACTTTTTGGACAGTTTCAGCATAACGTCCCTGCACTTAAACTCTGTCATGGCTATTAAAGGAAAGTATCCATATGGCTCCTTTGGTTCCAGCTAGCAAATCCTCTATCTATGGTCATATATTATAACAAACACCATAAGCTCTTGTGTTGTACAATATTGTTATTGAATGCAACTTCCTGGAGCTAAATGACTGCTTCATTTTTCTGAATTTAAGGTGATTAGTCCTTCACTTAGTCTGCAAAATGAACACTCTAATGTATTTCAAGTCGAGGGGGCACATTTTAAGGTGAGAGGAGAAAGATTTAAAAAAGACATAATGGGCATTTTGTGTTTTTACACAAAGGATAGTTCGCATGTGAAATAAACTTCCTAAGGAAGTGGTGGATGTGGGTACAATTATAATGCATTTAAAAGACATTTGGATAAGTACATGAATGGGAAAGGTTTGGAGGGATATGGGCCAGAAGCAGGCAGGTGGGACTAGTTTAGTTTGGGATTATGTTTGGCATGGACTGATTGGGCCAAAGGGTCCATTTCCGTGCTGAATGACAATGACAATGACATTGTTGAGCATTGTCTGTATCCCTCCAAATCCATATTGAAGCCGAAGAAGTGAAGGTTGTCTACTCGGGATTCCTGGCTTCTCCTGTTTAGCAAAGGCAATTCTTACCATGCTAGCTCAAAACCTGCAATTAGACAGATGGGGTTTCTCACAATGAAGATTTTATTAACATCCTACATTTCTAGTTTCTTGATCCAAAGGATATCTGCTCATGGATCCTGCTCAGGAAGATTACAGAAACCTTTTATATTGCATTATGTCAAATGCCTTTTGGAAATCAACACATTACGTCTATTGATTCTCTTTTAGCATCCATTTTGTAACATCCTCAAATGCCCTCAATTAGATTTATTTATTTGTCATATGTACTAAGTAAAGGAATGCATAAGTACAGCAAAAAGTGCACAAAGTTGCCATTTGCTGGGGCCCACTTGGTTACAAAAACCAAAATTAAAAGATTTAACAAAACCAAAAGGCAAGCAAAAAAAAGTAAAGTCCAGATCTCGGGTCCCAAGTCCCATCTCCACAATGGCGCTCCAATCGCTAGGCCACCATCGCTGCCTCACTGGCCTGTGCTCGCCGCTGACCGCTGCTGCCTCACTGGTCCACTCTTGCCGCTGACATCGTTCCATCCCACGTTCAATCCGCCATCGCTACAGGACACAGCCTGCACATTCAGCTCCCACCATGCAGTTCCTGATCATGACAAACGTGTCAAACTCTACTTCCCTTCCACAAAACCATGCTGCCCCTTTAATTATACTGTATATTATATTATTTCCTAAATGTCCTGGTACTCTTTCCTTAAAAGTGAAAGCCAGTATATTTCCAATAACAGATGTTAGGCTAACTAAGTAATCTACTTTCACTAATGCTGTTTGAGGGATCTACATCAAGCCAGGATAATAGTGCTTTGAGATCTCTGATTTAGAGAGATTGCAACACAGGTCACTTGCCCTGAGTACACTTTGACTCTTCTATCCCAGGAGTAGTCCTAATTTTATAACGTCCTTGTCAGTGGCTGCTACCCCTCTGGCCCAAAGTTTGACTTTCAAAAGGCAAGGTGAGAAGAATCAGAATTTGCATAGAGATTGTATGTGAAGACAAGACATTGAGCCCTTCACTACAAGAAAATGCCTGTTCACATATCTCTCTCTTTAAACACTGTCTATTTGATTCCTAAATTGTGGCACAGACTCTCCTTTAACTGCTAACTTGAAGCAGATAGCACAGCTTTAAAACAGTACTTTTTAAAAAACGAAAGCTGTCTGCTCTCTGAACTAAATCTTTTCATTTAATCTTGTCTTCACGTCATCCCAGGTTCAGTGGCTAGCACTCTTGCCTCTGAGTCACAAAGTTGTGATATGGGCTGAAGTGCTACTCCAGGAATTGATCAAAAATGTCAAGTCTAACTGCAGCAAAGGAGGAGTGTTGCACTGTTGTAGGTATTGTCTTTCAAATGAAATGTTAAACTGACACCTCATCTGCCCTTTCAAATGGGCAGAAAAGATTCCATGGCCCTATTTCAAAGAAGAATCATGCTTGACAAATATATTGGAATTTTTTGAGGATGCAAATAGTAGAGTTGCTAAGGGGGAGCCAGTGAATGTTATTTACTTGGACTTTCATAAGGCTTTTGATAAGGTCCCATGTAAGAGCATACATGGGGTAGCACGGTGGCTCAGTGGTTAGCACTGCTAACTCACAAAGCCAGGGACTTGGGTTTGATTCCAGCCTTGAGCAACTGTCTGTGTGGAGTTTGCACATTCTCCCAGTGTCTGCGTGGGTTTCCACTGGGTGCTCCGATATTTTTTTTTCCCCACAATCCAAAGATGTGCAGACTCGGTGGATAGGCTATGCTAAATTATCCGTAGTATCTAGGGATATGCAGACTAGGTGGATTAGCCATGGTAAATACAAGGTTATGGTGAATAGGGTAGGGGCTGGGTTTGGATGGGATGGTCTTTGGAAGATTGGTGAAGACTTGATGAGCCAATCAGCCTCTTTCCGTGCTAGAGGTTCTATGATTCTGTGAAGAGGTTAGCATGCAAAGTTAATGCATGTGAGACTGAAGATAGGATACTGACATCAATACAGAGAACTGGTTGGCAGACAGGAAAGAGTGGCAGCCAATGGCTAGTGGGGTACCACAGATCAGTTCTTAGACCCCAACTTTCACAGTATATGTAATATCTAATTTTGCAGACAACAAAAGATGGGTGTGAGGAAGATGCAGCAATACCTTAGTGCGATTTGGACAAATTGACTGAGTGGGCAAATGCAAAGCAGATGAAATATAATGTGGATATACATGAGGTTATTCACTTTGGTAGCAAAAGCAGGAAGGTAGATTATCTGAATGATGATGGATTGGGAAAAGGGGAAGTGCAATGAGACTAGGGTGCCCTTGAACACCAGTTGCTAAAAGTAAGCATGCAGGTGCAGCAGGCGATTAAGAAGGCAAATAGTACGTTGGCCTTCATAGCAAGAGGATTCAAGTGGAGGAGCAAGAATGTCTTGTTACAATTATACAGCACTTTGGTGAGACTACACCTGGAGTATTGTGTGCAATTTTGCTTTCCTTATGGCTATGGACGGAGTAAAACAAAGGTTTACCAAACTGATTCCTGGGATAGCAGGACTGATATATGAAGAGGAACTAAATCAGATAGAACTATATTCCCTTGAATTTAAAAGAATGAAGGAAGATCTCATTGAAACGCATAAAATTCTAATAGGACTAGACAGGTTAAATACAAGAGGAACGTTTCCGATGATCAGGGAGTCCAGAACCAAGGGGTCATAGTCTGAGAATATACAGTAGGCCATTTAGGACTGAGAGGAGGAAAAATTTCTTCACCCAGAGAGTGGTGAGCCACAGAAAGCAGTTGAGATCAAAACAGTGAACATTTCAAGGAATTAGCTATAGTCCTTAGGGCCACTGGGATCAAAGGGAATGGGGAGAAAGCGGGAACAGAGTTCTGAGTTAGGTGAATAAGCCGTGATCATATTGAATGGAGGAGCAGACTCAAAAGGCTGAATAGCCTACTCCTGCAGCTATTTTCTATGTTTCTTAGAACAGGGGATTTATCCTCTGTATTCTGACTAAAATTTACCACACAATCAACATTAGGCATTATCATTGCTGTTTGTGGGAGCCTGCTGCAGTTAATTGTAAGCATGTTTCCTACATTACAACGGTGAATACACTTGAAAAGTAATTTACGGCCATCGAGGGCTTTGAGACACCTACTAGTTGTATAAGGGCAAAGGGCTATTCAAATGCAAGTCTTTATTTGTTTCTCCAAGAGTCAATCACAGGAAATGATCTGTCTTTTATATAATGTTCATTCGTTCATAATTTCTCCATGCCTTTATCAAATAATCCCTTAATCTTTGTTCCAACTAAAAGAAACCTATAATTTGTCTCTTTTCCTGAAATTCATCATCCTAATGTATCTATGTAACCTCCATTTTGCCTTAACACAAGTCCCAAACTGCACACAGTACTTCAACTGTGGTCTTGAAGGGTTTATATAGATTCACCATTAAATCCTCTGTATCCGTGAATTCACAACTCACAAATTTGTTTCGCTGTGCCAAAAAGTAAGTAGCAACAAAATTCAACATCTGCAGACAAACACTGTAATTTTAACGGGCTCTACACTCGCAAATTTTATCATTTGAAGATTCTTAGAAACAACTCTCACACATACAGAGGAGTGACTATATATTACTTGCCATTGAAACCCTCTGAAAGTTTTGGCATTGGGCTTCTCCAATCTCGTATTCAAATTGCATGAGGAAGGAGACATGGCCTTGGTTTAATGTCAGGTCTGGCTAACAGCACCTCCAAAACTGCAGCACTTTCTCAGGTCTGATGGATTTGCTAGATTGTGTGCCAAAGTGCTCAATAAATGCACAAAGTGGTGCGGCTACTGAGTCACAATGAACAAGGAACCATTCCTGGGCTGTACTAAGTTAGTCTACTTCAGCTGAAACAATGGAAGGTGGATCTTGGTGCATTTGAGATCAGAAATGAGCTAATATTTCTGCTTTTTGTCATAATCTGCTAGAAAAATGGGACATGGCAGGAGGCTAGACTGCAATGCACCACAAAACCAGGGCTCAATTTTATTCCTTAGGCTCTTTTAAGTTTTTTTGGGGATAACATTTTAGTTGTTAGGGGTCCTTTTGTCAGGCTGTATCTCGTTCAATCAGTGAGGCAGACAATTAGTAACAGTACCTGCTGCATTTGCATTGATATACAGGGGACTTAGACTCACACAGAGGCAGTTGCATAACTCCTCAATATCTTCAATAACTGTCACTACTTCATTAAAGTTAATAGCACAGCACGCAAGGAAAACTTTAATTTCCTCAGTAACATAGGATTTACATGGGCACAAGATATTTGACATATGTTAGCAACTAATACTTTAAAAGTATATGCTTATTTATATCTATTTACCTCTTCTCTAATAAGTTCCCCCCCCCCCAATCAGATTTTCTCTGGTAAATGGAAGATTTCAGGGGAGAATTTGCCCACCACACCCATGTATTCTGAGCCCCGCTCAACACCACATAGCTTGCTCAATGGGAAGAGGCAGAATTCTGAGTGGGAGATTGTAGCTTCTCATTTGTCATTTTTTCCTGCTCTTCCAGCTCCAATACCTGCCTCAACTAACAAGCAGCAACATCTCGCCAGCGCCCGAAACCAAGAAGTACCACCGGCACAAGAACGACCATCACTTGCCCAACATCTGACTATATGGCAGCAAAAGCCAGCGAACCCAGCCAAACACCCATCTGCACTTCCACAACTTCCCCAGCAAGTGGAACTCCTGACAGAACACTTCCAAAGCCACTCTGCATTTAAAAAGGAGACGGCCATTCAATAGATAGGTGTTTAAGGAGGGGTTTTGGGCTGGACAGGGACTTGTGTACCTGTGTTCTTAATTTGGCGCCATATTTGTGCAGGAGGTCCAAGCCCTTCACATGAATGGAAGTCCCGTCAAGTAATATGACAGGCCTGTGCTGATATTGCAATGTTTGGTGCAGACTGCCTAGCAAATAATACCACCCCTGTCGGCCAGGCACTTTTAAATAAATGAAGATACTGGAGACATTACAGCCATTTGTACATTATCCTTGTTTGCAAATTATTTTTATTGGCGAGTGAATCCACAGTGGCAGTTTTCTAATTGATTGACAATTAAATATCCACTCAATGGCATGGACATTTCAGAAATTAATTCCATAGTGGCACCTACTGGCCAGAACCTACAATTGCAGTGACTTAAGAAGCAAAATTGAACAAGAAATGTTGACAGCAATTTACATTGAGAAATGTTGGCCGAAAAGTGTGACCAAAAATCAGACAGAAGGAAGTAAGCTTTTATGGACAAGTGTCTTACATTCTTACATCCTATGTATGATTTTTAGACAACCAAAACAATAGTTGTCTCCAAAAAAGTAATCATTGGGTCCTGTATTAACATATGCACATACTTGTGAGTACAGGTCATGGGAGGGGTCAATTTTCCAAAATACCCCAGGCTCATTCCATCTCTGCTGGGTTTTCATGGATGACAAGTGGTTTCAACACCCTCATTGCAGGATTTGAACTGAAACCTATTTCTCCAGCCAGAATCTAAATCTGGAGTAAGCTCCTATTACATGGCTGATTTTTCTACAAGTGACAGCTATAATGATTTGAAATATACAGTAGTTATTCATTCTATTCATGTGCACCTTTTTGTCCAACATTAAATATTGTCTCATTGAACACTGATGCAATCAATGAGATGAAACTAACCTAATCCCTAAATGGAGACCTCAAATGGTTAGAAATTAATTTCGAATCCTTAGCAGCTGGAGAAGTGATATTGAAGTGTGGGACAGGTAAGATTCTGATGGCAAATCATTGATCTTTAGGACAGCAAACAAAGATTACATTTCCCTTGCAACTGCTGGCTTTCGAGCACAGTGCTTTGAAGAATGATATTCTCTTACTTAGACTGTTTATTTGGAAGCAGAGTGCAGTGCTGGCAATAGGCACAATTGCCTAGACCTGCTGCCTAGCAACAGAACAACAAATAGGCAGCTAGATCTAGATGGTCACAAAACAATAAAAGGTCGGGTAAGACCTTTCAATCATGACTTCCCCATTAAAAAAAGAGCGTAAACCTAAACTCATCCCCATCATCATTCAACTGTTGAGTGACTCCTGGGCCATTGTCCCAACAAGGACAAAGGAAACTAAGTGGGACAGAATAGACATTGTTTGGCTGTCATTGTTTCTACTGGCTTAGATTATATGTTGTGCTCAAAATGACTGAGGATTGGTCTGGAGCCTGAGTTTCATTGTAGGTCCTGGTTTATTTAATAATGTAGTCCACAGAGATTGGAATAGCCATATAAAAGAAACAGCCTTTGTCCAGGGGATAGTTCCACACTTCATTCCTGTTAGTGCAAGTGGGAGGATGGAGCCTCACTCCCCATTCAGTACAACATTTGATTTGCTAGCCATAAGCGTATAGCCTTCTATATGATCATGCTGTGCATAAATGTATGCCATGTTTCCTACATTACAACATTTTAAATGTACTTATTTGGCTGTTGAGCACCTTAGGGCATTGAGGTTTTGAAAAATACTGTATAAATACAGTTTATAAAACATTTTATCTTTCAACAATCCTGTTCATTCAGTCTGTCTCTTTATTCAACATTAAGGGGAGTTGTTTACATCATAGGATGTTATAAACAGATGTAAGGAGGTGATAACATCTCTCAGTAACCCCTAACATTGCACCCTACCAATAGCCAGCATCTTGGTGACCAGAGACATGCCAGTAACTGTGCAAGTATCTCACATTTCAAAATTATGAAGCAATTAAGGACTCTAAATTTTTTTTTTAACAATTTCTCTCTACTCAAGTGTACACCCTGATACTGTGATAGCTCAGCTTCTCAACCAGACCACTCTGTTCACTGTTGTTTATTATTATAGTTGTCAAACCTCTAGGATCATCTTGGCACCTCCAGGGATTGCTGGACATTACCATGACAGATCTGAAAGAAACATTGTTGAAATTTTTTTTTTTAAACAGTTTACATTGAACACTTTGGGGAAAAATGGCTGTTTGACCAGGTGGAGCAGTTGGATGTGGGAGGTCATGTGATTTAAATCTCCAGGCACGCATCCAACCTGAGTTGGGAGCTCTAACACCTGTTGTATCGTCATGGAGACTCGGCATTCAGAATGCAGCAGTTTCTTTGACTTCAGACAAAAACATTAAATCCCACATTAGTAAAAATGGGATCTCTGGCACAAGAGAATGTGAGGAAGTTTCTGAATTCTGGCTGTGTAGCTTCAGGTGTTTGCATGATTCCTAAGCTGAGGGACCAGCTTACCATATTGATTTGAGGGTCGATGGCCTCGTAGTCTAAGGCAGACAACAGATGACTTTTGGGGAAGGTTATCCAATCAGACCTGCTCCCTACAGTCCTGCAGGTTTTTTTTTCCCTTTTCAGCTAAAGTACCCATATTCAATTCTGCTTTGCAAGTCACTGCTATGAGACTCCAGGTGTGTAGTCTAGTACTGACTAATAATCCAAGTTACTTATAAGCAGGATGCAACAATATGGCCGCAGTGAAGCCTGGGTTTGAATCCCAGCAAGGCAGATTAAGAGTTTAATGATGACCACGAATCATTGACTTTCAGGAAGGACCCTGGTTTGCTAATGTCTTTTAAGGAAGGAAACTGTTATCCTTACCTGGTCTAGCCTACATGTGACTCCAGACCCACAGCAATTTGGTTGCCTCTCAACTGCCTTCTAGGCAATTGGGATGGGCAGTAAATATTGACCTAGCCAGCAACGCCAACGTCCTGTGAATGAATTTTTTAATAAAATCACATCCCAATTCCCTTATTTTCCTCTGGTTTAGCGCTAGAAATGATTAACCTTTCCTACTAATTATTAATGGAATGGTTAAAGTGACAAAGACATAGCTAATATATTTTCAATAATAAAGCAGAGAAGAGTAGGAGTTCCTAATGAGTCATTAGTATACTCTTCTCAGATAAAGATAAAAGAACATTATCACTTTCAGTTACAGCAGCTTTTTTGAGATAAGGGCATAACATCTACTTTATTTGACAAGTTTCCTCTCCCACATATACAGCATGATACCATTGATATACTACATGGATTATTGATGAATTGTGAGCCATCAACCGAATAGGTTACTGAGGACTGGTGGCTTTGTGGGGCTGGGTCCAATGTATTTTATGAACATATGAATGGCTGGTCCTGAGACCTGGCTGATCTAATCTTGGATGTCCCGTGTCTCAAATTAGTTGAATCTTCTCCCCATTTATCCTTACTGCTGCTCCTCTTGAAGGCAAATGCAGTAGTGCAAGGCTTCTTTGTCCAAATAGTGGCCCAGTGGTAGCGTCCCACTTCTGGGCCACAAGTCCCATCTGCTACAGTGGTGTGTTATATCTGAATTTAAAAAAAATCTACATACACAAGTCCTAGCCCTCATGGGCACAGGAAGCTTCTATAATATTATATCTGTTTCTTCAATTTTTTTTATATGCAGGAGTCCCCCAGAACGACAGAGATCATTCGGCCTTAAGCCAGGGACACGATGGCCTAATGATATTATTGCTAGACTATCAATCCAGATGCTCAGGTAATGTTCTGGGAACCTGGGTTTGAATCCCACCACGGCAGATTGAGTTTAATGATGGCCATGAATCGTTGATTTTCAGTAAGAACCCTGGTTTGCTAATGTCCTTTAGGGATGGAAACAGTCATCCTTACCCGGTCTAGCCTACATGTGACTCCAGACCCACAGCAATGTGGTTGCCTCTCAACTGCCCTCTAAGCAATTGGGATGGGCAGTAAATATTGACCTAGCCAGCAACGCCAACATCCTGTGAATGAATTTTTTTTTAAAAAAATCACATCCCAACTCCCTTATTTTCCGAGATAACAAGGTGTAGAGCTGGATGAACACAGCAGCATCAGAGGAACAGGAAAGCTGATATTTTGGGTCTGGACCCTTCTTCAGAAATGGGGGAGGGGAAGGGGATTCTGAAATAAATAGAGAGAGGGGGAGGCAGATGGAAGGTGGATAAAGGAGCAGATAGGTGGAGAGGAGATGGACAAGTCAAGGAGGCGGGGATGGAGCCAGTAAAGGTGAGTGTAGGTGGGGAGTTAGGATGGGGGTTGGTCAGTCAAGGGAAGACAGACAGGTCAAGGAGGCGGGGATGAGGCTGGTAGGTAGGGGGTGGAGGTGGGGCTGGTCAGTGAGGTGAGAGGAGCAGATAAGTGGGAGAAAAGATGGACAGGTCAAGGAGGCGGGGACGAGCTGGGCTGGTTTTGGGATGAGGTCGGGGGTGGGGAGATTTTGAAGCTTGTGAAATCCACATTGAGACCATTGGACTGCAAGGTTCCCAAGTGAAATATGAGGTGCTGTTCCTGCAACCATTGGGTGGCATCGTTGTGGCACTGGAGGAGGCCCAGGATGGACATGTCATCCAAGGAGTGGGAGGGGGAGGTGTTGAAGTGGTTCGCGACTGGGAGGTGCAGTCATTTGTCACGAACCGAGCGTAGGTGTTCCACAAAGCGGTCCCCAAGCCTCCGCTTGGTTTCCCCGATGTAGAGGAGGCCACATCGGGAACAGCAGATACAATATACCATATTACCAGATGTGCAGATGAACATCTGTTTAATGTGGAAGGTCTTCTTGGGGCCTGGGATGGGGGTGAGGGGGGAGGTGTAGGGGCAGGTGTAGCACTTCCTGCAGTTGCAGGGAAAAGTGCCAGGGGTGGTGGAGCTAGTGGGGAGCGTGGAGCGGAGAAGGGAGTCACAGAGAGAGCAGTCCCTCCGGAAGGCAGTTAAGGGTGGGGAGGGAAAAGTGTCCTTGGTAATGGGGTCAGATTGCAGGTGGTGGATGATGCATTGAATCCAGAGGTTGGTGGGGTGGTATGTGAGGACGAGGGGAATTCTGTTTTTGTTGTTATTGCGGGAAGGGGATGTGAGGGATGAGTTGTGGGAAACGCGAGAGATGCGGTCGAGGGCGTTTTCGATCACTGTGGAGGGGAAGCTGCGGTCCTT